AGAAAGTCTTGAAGTGGCGCAGGTGCCGTTTGCGCTCTTTGCCCACTCGAGTGCAGTGCTGCCAACACACCAACAAACTACGCGCGAGTTCAAATTAAACTATTGGATATTTCAAACTAAACAAATCCTGAAAGTAAATGCATTTGAAACTGCCCCAAGAAATGTCAATGTTTGAACAAACTCGCATTTCGTCATCGGTGCGGCCGTTTCGTAGTCCATTGAGTGAGTTAGACACAGACAGACAGACTCACGACGGAGACAACGCCTGACCCCTCAGCGACTTGGACTGAGCTTCGCTCAGCGATTAGAGTCGATAGGGACCCCATCATATTTTTACCCCGGGGTACAAATATTATGGGGTCCAACGAACTCCAATAACGGTTTTGGTGGGCCTACCCAATAATATTTCTACCCCTGCATAGGTCACGAACCCTGACGCCCTTTCCCCAGGTGTCGCGGCTGCCGCCGCTGATGCTGCTGCCACTGCTGCTGGCGACCTGCCGGGCCAGCCTGCTGGTGGCGGACTCGCACGACGGCCGCCTGCGCGTCGTGGAGCTGCACGGCGCCGGCCCGACCTGCACGCTGTACGGCGACCGGCGCGCCGCGGAGCACAGGCTGTCCACGGTCGACCCGCGCCGCGTGAGCAACAGCTCCCCGGAGCAGTTCGACGCCCTGGTGCGCGCCTGCCACGAGCACCACCGCAACCACCTCGGCGGCGGGGGCGGGGGCGGAGGCGGGCCGCTGGGCCCGAGCCCCGGGGGTCTGCGACAGACGGGCTTCATCTATCCAGGTCAGTTCCGCACGCCTTTGCACCACCAGTCATTACCGTTCTGATAAAATGTGCACCAGAATGTCTCTGTCCCTTGCTCCGCGTGCCACGACTCTATCCCCCCGACAGCGCAGATAGAGCGCGGAGTATCGCCCGCCGCGCCGTTCGAATCCCGCGCTTCCCGCCGCTCGGGAGGTTGCGACGGCCGCCGCCAGATGGCAGCACTCCGCAGCGCTCGGGGCGACCGCCAACCGTGTTCAGCGGGACGCAACAGGTCCCCCCAACCCCCTCCCTTCTCGAGTCGGCAAACTTTTGTAGCATGAATAGGGAATTTTTTCAGTACCCGCGTTGCAATATATTGTAACGCGCTTTTCTACAAATATGCGTTTCAACGTGAACGTGTATAGTCTCGAGCGCAACGTATGTTACAGGGACGAAGTGGTGCGGTCCCGGCAGCACGGCCCAACACTACGAGGACCTGGGCTACCACGAGGCCGAGGACGCGTGCTGCCGCGAGCACGACCACTGCCCGGCCATCCTAGAGGCGGGCCAGTGCGCCCAGGGACTCTGCAACAACGCCATCTACACCAAGTAAGACTCCATGGCTTACCTTCTGTCGCTAAGCGATGTCGACAACTGCTGACGGTGGTATTGATTTACCCGACGGTCACCTCAGGTCTCACTGCGACTGCGACGCCCGTTTCCGGCGGTGTCTCCGCAGCGTCGGGTCCGAGACGTCCAACCTCATCGGATCCATCTTCTTCAACGTGGTGCAGGTGTCTTGCTTCAAGGAGAAGCGACCCTGCTACTCCGAAGACGTGGATGACAGGTAAGTTAACCTAAAGACTCCAATAAAAGTTCAAAGCGACACCTTTCAGCAAAATCAAGCAGGAAATAGAATTAATATCAGTCTTGATGGGCTTCGCCTCGGATAGGTATTTTAAAGTCCGAAATTTATCAGAAAAAATTTGAAACTTTTCCAGGAAAAAAGGAAAAGCATTTCGCTACACCCAAGAATTTCTGGAAAATTTGGAAAAAATGAAAATTCAAACAGTTTTTGGATTTTTTTTTTAACAGACCGTTGCGACGGCAATTTGGCAACAGCGCAAAATTTTGTTTCAAATCTAATCTGGACATGTTTCTGAAAAAAGCCCAACACTCGGACATAGTGAATTTCTTATGATTCAAGTGGTGATGAGTAATTTTGTTGACAATCACTCTAAACCCTCCAAATCGAGCAGCTGAAATCCGATTTGCGGTTTTGCCATGTTTCGGACGCAACGGTCTAGTTCCCAAAATTACTTTTTGGGGAAAATTAAATCCCAACTTGGCTCCTGTACAGTTTTGCGATCTTCTCTGTTTTAGGAGCGGGCGCTGCCGCATGCGCTTCCACGCGCAGGCGCGCTACGAGGAGTTCGGGGGAGCCGGGGGCTACGCATCGGGCCCGTCCGGCCTTGTGTCTAACCTCCTCAGCTCCATCCTCCCGTTCAGAAGACGATGAGCGAACCAGGATCGCACCGCACTCTCCACTTCCCAAGTTGTTCCTTTACTGCGAGTATTTAAGTAGCGATATAAGTGTGTTCTTCGGTCAGACAAGGACCGGCAGCTGGTGTGCATTCCACCAAGAACTTTCCTTACTTGATGTTTAGTGTAGTGAGCGAGAAGATGTGTTCGGTGATATTGACATATCCCAAGACGGAGTATATTCCTGTTACCCAGACGGTGACTTTGGAACTTTGTAAGTGACTTGTGATACTACATTAGGAATGCAGCTATTAAAACTGTATGTGTCTGTGATAGAAAGCAAGAGGCGGAGTACAGCCGCTCAACTGCGACAGAAAACGAAATAAATCCGATTTTTTTTACTTCTGTGTTTACTATACAGGATATTCCAAATATGCCCCGAACTACTATAAACTGAAAGATCAGTCTCACAGTTATTTATATAACGAGAAGCGTCTCGTATATCTCGAAGGGAAAGGCAACTAAAATGTTCCCCTTCGCTAATTTACCGCAGTTGCGGTATGACAGCCACCTCTATGGTACTTTACTAAAGCCTTTTTTATGGGAGAATACAAACAAAACTGTGGGCCTGTGAGTTTTTTGTGCAGTTAGATTTGCAGAGTACTTTATGTTTCATTTAGGAGTGATATTTCTATTTATTTCGTGAAGGGGCGGTCACAACTTGCCATGAATGCACAACGGTGTGCCTCCACACACAAGCAGCTAGCAGCTCGCACGGAGCTCACCGCTGTGGTCGGGTGGGGTGGGGCTGGGTGGGGTGGGTCAAGTTGTAGGGGCGGCGTTACCCCGCGCGCTGTGGTCTCCGTCCGTGGTCCGGGGGTGGGGCGGTGGGGTGGGTCAGGTGCGCTACCCCTCGCCCCGGTCCGCACGCGGCGGCGCGGCGCCGGGACCGCTCAGTCTGCGGCGGACAGCCACCCCTCCCGGTCGCACTCAGAGGCCACGGCCCTGCGCGCCCCTCGAGCACCCAGCCACGTGCGAGACGAGCGTGAGCTCGCACGAGCACCGCGCCCCGGTCGCACCCGGCAGTCTGCCGACGCTCAGCCGACGCCTTTCCGACGCTCAGCCGACTCCTGGTCCGACGCTCGGCCGACGCCGGCCCAAGAAGATCTAGCAAACCGGTGGATGGACTTTCTCTCCCGGCAGTAGTGGCCTCGGTCGTCGCTCTAAGGTGCTCGGTCCCGGTGGAGACCGCGGAGGAGCGTGCGCTCGGAGTGTGGACTTTGATGCAGAAGAAGCATGTCGCCGTCTCCTGACAACTGCTGAACATGCTGGCCCCGGGTGGCCGGGCGGCCAGGGCCATCCTGGTGATCCTGGCGGCGGCGCTGCTCGGCCTGACAGGTGAGTTGTTGGCGGCGTGTCGGCGGTCTTGTTGTTCAGCGGGAGCTCCGCGCACGGCCTCGGGACGCCGCGCACCGCCACGCCCGCGCAAAGTCGCTGATTAAGTTTAAGCCGACAAACAAGGGGAAAGTGACTCCCTCAAGTTGATGTCATCAGACAACTGCCGCTCCGTGTAGCGTGGCGGAGCATGGCGTGGGGTGAGTTTGGGGGCCAGGCGTGGCGTGGCGGGGCGTGGCG